GCCGCTCCCCGCTCAGCCCCGCCTCTCCTCGATGCCGTCATTAAGTCTTCAGAGAGAGAGAGAGAGAGAGAGAGACGTCGTTGCGACTGACGACATCTCGCTATCTGCAGGGCCTATCAGGGTGACCCGTCACAGAGTGGTGAGAACGCCTGCAGGCCTTTCATATCTGGAGCCTTGGGGCGGTAAACCGTTCAATTCATGTAATTTGTGAGAGCTGATATCGAGATTTTAAGTGGTTCGAGCTTTTTGTCTGCACTGCGTTACTCCTTTACTAAATATCGTCAATATAACTTTCTTCAAATGGTTATTTTTTAGGTTCCTTATTTCAACGAATCCAGTTCTGTGCGTCAGATTGTAGTATATTACGGTGTATTAGAACATTTGTCTAAAACATAGCATAATTCATTATTTCATTTCTATAAACTGACTATTCTTTCTACATTCTTCACTTTTTTCAATTTCTACTCCTTAGGATTGTCAATGTTTTTAATTTCGTGTATTTCTCATCGTCATCTTTATCACAGAATGTATCTACTCATATCGATTAGACGTTTTAGACATGACGTTAGTGAAAGACAGTTTCACTTCAAGGCTTTTCGTTTTTTATCACTTTCAGTGTTTTATCAGTGTCTTTTATAAGATTATTCTAATTTTTCATTAAAGTTTGTTTATTTTCTCTATGATTTATATTTCTTTTAAAGAGTGTGGCTTCGTATTAAAAATTTGCAAGTTTTGTCAGAACATTTAAAGTAAAATATTATTTTCCATCTACCGTTTCTTGTTATTATTTCTCCTTCTCCCCTCTTTGCTTTTCTTATTTTTTTATTTCTAAATTCAAATTTTCACTCTTTAAACATTATTTTTAATTATCCATTAAAGTTCTACGTTCTTTGTTTCATCAAAGTTCTAAGTTCTTTGTCATTTGTTTCAATATTTTACAGGCTTATTCCTTCTTGTTGTGTTGAAGTTGTGTGAAAGTTGTCGTTTTCTCCTTATGCATCTACGTATTAAATTATTATTTCTTGTCGATTATTCTTTCTTTATTTTCTATCCCGACTATTCTTTTTCAAATTTCTAATGTAATAGTTCTACAAAATGTTCGTAACACCTCTGCCGCAGTTCTTCTCCTTTTCTTTCTATTTGTAGTTTCTTGCGTTGCGTTCTTCAGTCGCCATTTATCTACCAGGTTTCTGTTCTCTTCCATTATTCCTCAGGTAGATAGCATTTTCACATCAGCTCCTACACGGATTTAATCTATGCTATTTTTGGACTCCTTAATTTCCGTCTTTCCTCTCCACGATATCCATTTAATCGACTTACCTGTGGTTGATAAACTGACGTTCTCCATTCTTTTTGTGGGCCCGCATCACCACTATTGTCTCCGTTCTATTTTCTGCAATAAAACCCTCCGGTCGGACATAATTTATCTTCTTCTTGCATTGACTTAAACTTCTACTTTCGAGATCCCTTCTCCAATATTCGTTTCAAACGCACTTCATTTTTCTTGTGTCTTTCTTATAAGTGCTTAATTTTTACTTAGTGTACAAACTCACTTTAAAACTATATGGTACACAACCTCTGTGTTCCTCTATTTAGTTACTCTATTTAGCTACTTAGCAGTCTCACAGAATTTTGTTTCCTGTATCTGATACTCTGAGTTGTATTTTCTGAAAGATTAGTATGAAAAAGCCACACTGTATGACAGATTCATTCTTCAATTTTTTATATGAATTCCTAGTCCTTACAATATCAACGATATAGCATATTTGAATTATATATAACAAATTATCTTCCGTTCGACTGTTTTATTTGCACACAATCATCTAACGTAGTTGAAATACTATGATAAAAACATGCACTTTTTTTCAAAGTCTTTAATACTTGATTAAGCTTAGAATATTTAATATTAAAGTAGAAAATCACGTGCTGTCAATCTCAGTCTGGACTCAGAATTTGGATGTGAGAATGCAAAGTACTTATATTCGGCTCACAACAGACTTCGCTATCCTTTAAGTAAATCCCCCATCGATAAATGCAAGAAAGAACGGAAACTTCTTGCTAGATAGGTCTCCTGAACCATCTTAGCTGAAAAATTTTGTTGAGACCCAAACACATGAATTGATAGATTGTAATAGATAAAGTAGACTGATTAAATAGAGAAGAATAATAATTTGCAGGATGTATCATGCTAAATAAGCTATTTAAGCATCTTTTTTTAAAATTCTGATCGTTTGGACTCATTAAATATGCCATTACTCTTACTCAATCCATTCAATATGTGCTCTATGTTACGCTGAATCCATTTATTCAGCAAATTGACACCAATCATAATTTTATAATAGGCTTAAACTTGGACGGCCGTAGTTGTAAGAAAACTGGTAACATAACAGTTTATAATTACTATCGTAATTACTTACTTCAAAAGTCAGTGTTTAATTGCACGAGCATGTTGAACGAACAATCCGAATTCGTTCATTTTTCAACATTCCAGTTAAATACTGCTTCGTATTTGAGGAGCGGACAGCATTTTACTTTCATACAAACAAAAACGAAAAATCATTTTCTTTGTTCTTTCGTCACTTCCTGGCGTAGATGATTCGGTTGCGTAGAAGAAGAAAAGACGAATGTTGCAAGTGAAAATAAAAAAGTTTATCGATACCTAGTATTTATACATTACCACGCTAGTGTAATGCTAGTACCACGCACAGTCATAATTTATCAACACTCGATCAGTTATATAACGATATGTCGAACGGTTAAACAGTACGTTAAATTACAGAAGGATATGAAGACATCGAAAAACAAACAACACCTTCGTCATACCAGGTTGGAAAGATCTTATTACTCCAGAATGACTTGTCTAACTAGGTAGAAAACATATACACAACATTGCTACACAGTGGATATTGAAAGAATGGATCATACTAGATTTGCGGAAGACGATTAGAAGTACATCCAAAACAGAAGAAAACAAGAAAACAAGAACAAGAAGAAACTTGGATTAAGAAGTAGATGGAATGAGAATAAAAGAGGCAGAAGCTTGATCAGGAAGTGAAGAATATATGACACCCACTGAGAACTACTAGTAGCGGACTTCACTTAGAAGAAAAAAATATTTGTTCAGACACCGCTGGCGGTACGCCTCTAGCACAAAGCGTAAGATGGCCGGTTTTTGAGGAACGGCCACCGCCAGCACCGCCGCGGCCTCCGAGAGTGGCGGGCGCCGCCCACTTTTGACGGCTGTTCGCAGCCGGGGCCAGGCGCTCGATGAGGCAGAACTGCCGCCGGCGGCAGCTGTTGAGGCGGCGGTGGCTGAGGCGGCTGCAGCAGCAGCAGCAACGGCGGTGGCAGCGGCGGCGGCGGCAGCTTCCGTCCCGAGCTCCCTTCATTGTTATTCGTCCTCTGCTTCGGAGTCCTGTGGCGGTAGCTCCCAACGCAGATTAATGGAACGACCACTAACTCACCGAAAGTAATTCTTCCCGGACGTCCTCGAAGTTCATTTGGACCTTTGGGTAAGACGGTGCGGCCGGCGAAGCGAAGCGCGCAAAAACCCGCCCTGGGTCCTGGCCCGTCTTCTCGCGCCCTTAGTCAGGGCCGTCACGGGCGCGGGGCGGGGGGAAG